CCATTCGAAGCAAAGATAAATAAATAAATATAAAGGTTATTATATATCATTTTACTACAGTTGAAAGTGATATTGATAAATTGGAATAAGAACCATATTACTATGTCATGAAAATAAATTCAGCTTATGAAATAGATAATGTAATTGAAATTATGCTCATTAAAGGAATATTCACAATTTATTGATCATTGAGTGGTGATCAATGTCACGTATATCAGGTCCTTCTTAGTACAGATCAAATCCTATCGATCAAGTTGTAATGTGGCCACTAGTCAAAATGAAAGTTCAATGTGAATAGTACGGTAAAATGCTAAATGACTTCATTATTAAAAATTTCAATCATATTATGTGAGAATTCATTTTGCCTGTCTGCAATGAAGTAATGAATCACTATTCAGTTCATTTTAAAGTTCAAAACAATGGGATTATGTCAAGTTGATGAAAATGCATTGTTTTAAAACTAATTGCCTACATATCTCTATAGATTTCTGCAGAAAATTGAATTACAAGTATTCTAATTATCTATTTTATGTTTTGAGTATTTGATACTTCTTGAATTAAGGTCATATGTGTTGTGTCTTTTAGGCCATTTAATATCACGTGACTTATCAGCCAATCGGAATACGACTTATACAGTCTTAGCATTGTGCCAAACAAATGACGTATTGACCGGTATGAGCAGCCTAGCATCCTTGTTTGTCCTTTTTCCTCCTAGCCCTTCCAGTTGAGTTCAGAACACCAGTATCAGCTTCCACTCTACGAATTATTTATTTCAAACATACCTGGTTTATATACAAGTCAAACGGACCACATCGCACCATAAAGTAAGAAATATTATTAGTACAAGATCAAGCCAAAAAATGACTGTGATTGTGGGAGACAATTAATAAACTGAATATAACTTAAGAACAGTAAATTGTATAATAATAGTCTATAGGTCAAAATGAAGCATATAATAAGAGGAAGATAGATATGCATATTCCAGTTACTGAATAGTATATGATATAATAAGATTATATATATGATAGTGGTCCATTAATAGTTCTCAGAAGTTACCTACAATCTAATCTTCACTAGGATATAACAATATGAAATGTCAAATTATTAGAAAGATTGTCACAGTAAGGTTAGAAATCCACTGAACTGTATTCATTAAAAAATATAAAGGGGTTCAAAAGAGCAGGTTTAACCAGAATAATATATTGTAGTTTCTTTATATCTGGTACATCTACTTTACTCATATCTATGAACCCAGAGTGGGATATTAATATTTCATTACCGAAGTATTGAATAAGATTTATCAATAGCTAGATAAGGATTGTCTTCCGGCTTTTTTCAGGAAAAATCTAATTGTTAATGATCAATCGACTTGACTTGCTTTGTATTCCTTGATGATGACCAACTGATAGTTAAATTTTAGTTAACCCGCAGTAATCTCCTCATCACATGATAATTCTAACTAAAGTATCAGTTTATTTTCTATAAGAGCATTCTGATACAGACAGACCCCAAATTTTCAGCATTTGCTTTCAGTTAAAAGTTTGGTCACATCGTTCATAAGATTGGATTCTGAAAAACGACAGCAATTTATAGAGAGTAAACTGTTCCTAATATCGCAGTTTATTTAAAAAGTGATATGGCTTTCAGATGGATGTGACTGAAAATCGAACTCAATAGAGAATAAAGATGTTCTATGTGTTGATACAGCAATTTTTCTAGGGTCATTGGAAACTTATGTTTTTCTTTTTCGGTTGACGTAAACATTATCTTAAAGTGATAATTCATGAAAGCAGCCTTTAATTGTTGGTTAAACAACGAATAAAGCACACGATTGTTCGACACTCCAATCAAGCCATTTCAACTTGTCTGTGAAAGAACCTATTTAATTGGTGGGTAATCGATTTAAAGTCTCAGCTGTAGGTCTCATTGTCTATAATGAACATGTGATCAGATTACAATTGTAGTGTAGTGGTCGCTACTAACGAGGATGTTTGTAAATAGTATGTAACGGAATGTGGTGTCGACGTTGCGAAAATTGTCGGAGAGAGTGGAGTTTCAATGCATCGAAAGCACGGAGTTGGTGGAAAACTCAGAGGCCAGTAGCGAAGACAGTTTAAACTGCAGAACACACCGGAAGATGCAAATGGACAACTGATATATATATATATATATATATATATATATATATATATATATATATATATATATATATATATATATATATATATATATATAATGTAAATACCTTGCAACTTCTCGGAAGTAATCGACATACCTGTTGCCTATTGTCATGTTCTACGGTAGTGTCATGTCTGCAGTTTGTTCGGTAAATGGAAGCAATAGTGAGGGATTCGATCAAGGAACCCTCTTGCTAATGGATATTATTATTATAGATATAAAAAAGGGAAATGTAAACCCTTTAATTATAGACCTATTATACTCTCTTATATGGTAGGGATAATTGTCATCCAGTAAACTAGTTAACACTGATGTCTTTGAATGATAGTGTAGTGAAGAAGACCATCAGTGGCGACAATCAAATGTATTCGAATACAAAATTACGGAGTGTCTTAGTAAAATCTGAGAACCATACAGTAAATAAACAGAGATAGATAGTGGCTATCAGTGGAATTTAGGACTCGCGTTTCGTCCTATTTGGGACTCGTCAGCTGGATGTACCTGTATCTCAGAGTTGATGTTCACTCTGGGACTCGAACCCAGTACCCTTGCTTCAAATGCCATCGCGTTACCCACTCGGCCACTGAGTCCTGATAGCCACTATTATTATTTTTGTAGAGATGAAACAGATAGTAATTTCATGTTCATGATTCAAAAGCACTTAGGAATTAACCAACAGTTCGCTTACATATTGCCGGTCCCATTTCTGAATGTTTAAAAGGTACTGCCATTTAAAGTTAAGGACGGAAGCTAGATAATGATTATACATAAAAATGTACGAAAAAAGAGGATAAAGACAGCTAGAGGTATAAAGTTAATTTATACTGAAGATATACGTAGGAAGTGGATAAGCAAGATTATATGATCATTTTTATTTAAACATTGAGTATGTCTTGGTGGAGAGATAGTAAAGTTATTTCGGATATGATTACTAAAATAGACTATGCTAAATGAAACTCAAGTATTTGGTTCGTTGGAAAAGTCGTCAACCAGTCGTCTCTGAAAAATACTTTATTCCTATTTATTAGAGAAAACATGGAACAATCTGCGAACGTTAATTATTTTATTGATTTTGACAACTCTCTAAAATTGACTGATTCAAAACGTATGAATCAGAAAAGCTCTGTCATATTGATTTGTTTTTATCAAAATCCATTTAGATCAACAAACTGCAACAGAAAAATCACTATCCATACTCTATTATCCACTAATATATTCCAATAATACAGCCGGTTTTTCAATGATTATTTTTTGAAAATCCGTCAGATCAAGAATTCTTCAAAGGATTGGATCCCCAGCTATTCAGATCAAAAAGCCGGAACTTTACATTCAGAAGGAATATAAATAATCTCTTTTCCTTTGACCAAATTAGTTATTAATTATTTTGAAGATATGAAAACATAATTTGATTAATGTACATGCAGTCTACCTCTTTACATTTTCGTAGCTTAAATTTATATTGTTCTCGTATATTATGATTGCTAGAATTATTCTAAGGTTTGTAATTGTTTAAGAAATTTATTTAAAGTCCACTCCTATTTACTATTTCTTACCTAATTCATATTACTTTTTATATTACGTAATCTTTGATCAGAAATTCATTTTAACCTTTGATTATACTTTTAGCTTTATCTCATGTTACCCATATTTGTTCTGATCATTTATCTTGCAATTTCATCATATAAACTTATTCAAGACAATATTGCATACTAGTCATCGTAGCACTAACAAGTTTGTTTTACAGTTTAAATCCCGAAATGATCTTAATTAGGCCACTGGAGCAAACCTAGAAGGACCAAATGACTGTCACATAATAGTACGAGACTCCCGAGAAGCGCAGATCTACGACTTCGTACGTGGGAGTCAAACCCAGGACCTTCGTATCATGTGTGAATACCTAACCCCTAGACCACTAATCTGAAATTCAAAGGTGTTAATTTTATTTTATATTGCAAACGATTCAAAACCCTTATGATATAATTTTAAACTATATGTATTTATAGGTTTCGGTGACAAGGTTGAACGTGATAGTCTCAAATAAATTGAGCACTGCGTAGAGAGTTAATAATAAGTAGATTTTTGTTATATCCCAGTGGATAGAAAAATTGTATTTCTGACGTTTCGTGACCTGGGTTAATTTGGTTTTATATCGGTTATTTATTGACTCTGAGGAAGTGGCTTACATTAAGTCACGAAACGTCGGAAATACAATTTTTCTACTCACTGGAACATAACAAAAAACATATTTGTTACTATAAATATTTACCTTGAACCTAGTCATTTTTTGGGTTACTAATTTGGAAATATCAGTGCAGAACTTAGAGGAAACTTATTGAAAAGAATATTCTTCGTTCGTATCTACACTTTTTTCAGTTTGGGGTTATGGATATTATTAAATTTCATTAGAATCATGAACCGAACAATGTTAAACCATCATTGAGAACCTGAAAGCATTGAATGGTTGTTTTGTCCTGATAAGATGGGGATTGGGCTTAACAAGCTAGTTTGCGGCTTCATCTTATTTTTGAACGAAGTCACTAGTAAAATGTTATTTGAATTGTAAATTGGACATCCTTATCTAGTTTAAACTACTTAGTTATCATAATGATATTTTAACCAAACATTATCATTCATAAACAAAATTAATTTGAAACAAAAAGGGAAATAAGCAATTTCTATTTTGTGAAACGTTTTATTATGAAAAAGATTGAATTTTGTTTTATTCAAGAGGTGAATTTAATTGGTTGGTTTTAATATTTAACCTTTGTATGCTTATGACTCTAAAAATATACACAAAACCAATCACAAAACAGTATCTAATTGTTGTAATTCTGTCTGGAAATGGGTACTTTCAATTTGAATGAGCTAATAACTCTGAACGAAGTTCATTTTAACATAGATACATATGTACACTATAGAGATGGGAAAATATTATATACATACGAGAAAATTTGTAGACATCCACACTTTTATTCCAGTCATATATGAATACGAGAATGTTAATTTACAGGCACATACATGCATGTTATATAATTGGGTGTCTTTTGTATGTATGTATGTATGTACGTATGTACGTGTGTATGTTGCATGTATGTATGAATATACTTATGTATGTTTGAATGTGAAAGTAATAGCAATAATTATAATAATAACTTCCTACTGTATACACAGATAATATAGCACAAGATGATTCACAAACGATTCGAATTGATGGAAGCAAGGCATAATGTCATAAATTGGCATAGTAAATACATGTTACGAGTATCAATGATATAATTGATTCATTTGAAAATGTACTTAACAGTAATATCAGTGTAATTACTTCTATTGTTAGTCATTAATTGTCTTATGGACTTATTGAGGATTATTGTGGTTATTAAATGTTCACTGAAGAAGATGATCAGAAATAACAATTGAGTTTTTGTTAAGAAAAAGTACTTAGTTCGTATTAAAACTGATTGAACATTGTTTTCTGCGATCACATTTGTTGAGTGAATGTGTGAAACATGTAAGTTATGATGATAACAGTTTGTATTATTATCACTGTTCAATGATCAAGTAGCTATTGGCTTGGGATTAGGGTCGAGTCACGACTTGTATAATAAAATATTTAAAGCGTCAACCTAATTATACTGTGCTGATGGAATTCTATCATTGTGAAAACAATCAAACAGATATTCGCTATTCAGTAGTCGTGAATCAAGAGAAACTAAATACTTGTTGCCTTTTAAGCGATCAGTAAGTACAATAAGAAGACTAAGATTATCAGTTTATATTAATTTAAATTTATCAAAGGGACTGATTGCTTTAAATCACCAAGTAGTTTCATGTTTGAAATGCATTTATAAATGTTCAGATACTTGTATGGATCAATAACAAAGAGCAAGTTGGATGAAACTAATTGACCTTGATTTTTATCTAGTTTATCTAGTAGCGATTATTTCGCTGTATACAATAAACTAGTGTAATTTTACTAATCATTTTTATGTAAACGTTTCTCTATTTTCAACTAAATGATTAATCCAATAATTGAACTATGAAAAAGACATTGAAGTATTATCGTTAACTTAAATTATTCTATGATGGTTAAGGGTCTATTGTATACAAATACTCATAAGTATTAAAATGGTATTATTCAAGATAAAAATTATACTATAGATGCATAGGACTATTTGTCGTTTGACACTTTCATCTGTTGTTCAATAATTTTTGTTCAAAAGCAAAATACAACAACAAATTGCAAGCACGAAACACTAAAATAATATTTATATATTACTACAGTTCTACGACTTACAACTTTCTAAAACCAAGAGTACTGAGTATTTAGTTATATTTGTCCTCAATATCAAACTGATCATCTTTATCAGAATGGGAGTTTGTGGAAATTGTAGTATTGTAACAATTGAATTCATGAGTCGATCTAGGCTAGACCACTGTTGGAAACCTGGAAGCACTGGACGGGCATTTTGTCCTAGTGTGGGACTACTCAGAAGTGCGCATCGACGATTCTGAACGTGGGACTCATCTTTAGTTCAAATCAACCAACAATTGAATTTTAAACATCATGATAACTCAAGTGTTATAAAAAGAAATTTAATGAGTGGTTTAAATGTTATTTAGTCATGTTGATTAGTAATGGAACAAATTTTCTTTAATTGCTTGTATCATTATCAAGGTTTGATTTGCACCAGACTGTTATTGATAAAAAAATAAGACAAATTTGTAATGTCTCAGTAGGCAAGAAATTGAATTTTCAACTTTTCGCGGCCAAGTGTAAGTCGTTTCATCAGAGAACAAATAAGTAGTTATATTCGGTTAGCATGATAAAAACAGGCTCGAAAATTGCAAATTGACTATCGATACATAGATTGTCAAATTTTGAATGCTTTACCCCACCCAACTTATTAAAACCTGATTTGTTTTTATAAAAATAAATTACACGTGCCACCGTTTTTACTTTGATAACGATCTTTAATTTTATTTGATTGGGATAAAACTTGATGAGAATTCATTGAAAGTATGGAGAAAAATCGTAACAATTTTCCTCTATGATCATGAAAACGTGTAACTTTCAGAAGATTCATGACACTTGAATCAAGTACACCTGGAATTTCGTTCCGACTTTAATCTAGGATGCTAAATTTTACAGAAGACACATTCCTGCTAAATCATAAGATCTATAGGGTTTTTAATCCGTAGACATAAAATAATTAAAAATGTTAGTTATCAACTAAAAATCATAAGTCTATTTATAATCGCTGTGCTTGACATTTTTTGGTTGCTGAAGTTCAGCAACGAATTGACCAATCTTGTGTACCACATTAACTTCTTCGTTCACAAATTATCCACATTTACATGTTGCTAATGTTTTGAATAACAGTCCCACTTAAAATAAAAAAAATTATTCATAGTCAGCTGGTGTGATCTAAATAAGATTAAAGTGCTAATTAGTAGTTAAAATTTAAGTATGGTATATTTCGTTTCAATGTATTTCTATTCATCAGTTATACAACATTCATATATTCAGATATGGTAACTCATTCCAGAAAATAATAAAACTAATATAATTTATTCATTTGTTATTGTTTGCTTGAATCTTCCCATTGATGTTTAGGACAGCAACTGGTCAGTCTATTATTGGCATATGTGCTTACTGTGAGTATTGCCTCGATATAGCCTTAATATAATTTATATCATTCATTTGACGGGTTAAAAATTTCGAGATAATTCAGTATGGGATTATCTATGAAAATGTTTTATCGTAACCCTAGACCTTTTAAATTCTGTTCTCCTCGTCTCTACTTTTTTTTGACATATAATTTACAATGTGTAATAATTACTACTTAATTAAGTGAATGAATACAATATCTTTTATCAAATATATCCAAGTAATAGAGTTCAATTTGTGATAAATCTTAAACTGAATACCAAGTTAAAACTCATTTCTTTCTCTTTCACATAGACATTCATATATACATTTAAAGAAACATTCTGTTTATAGGAAACTATGAACAAATCAGTAAATTCACTTGGTGTTATTTACTTGTATCTTCCCATTGTTATTTAGGACCGTAATTGATCAGTCTGTTGTTAGCTTATGTGCATCCTGTGCGGACTGCCTGGATATTGCCTGAAGTCACAAGCATTATGAGCAAAGATGGATATCGAGGCAGTCCGCGCACGATGCACATATGCCAATAACAGACTGATCAATTGCAGTCCTAAATAACAATGGGAAGATACGAGTAAATAACACCAAGCAAATTTAAACTTCACCCCATTGCACAAGCAGATGGCTGTCAAGACTCAGTAGCTAAATGGATAACGCGATGGCGTTTGAAGCGAAAGGTACTGGATTCCGGTCCCAGAGTGAACATCAAGTCTGTGATGCAGGTACATCCAGCTGATGAGTCCCGAATAGGATGAAACGCGCGTCCTGGATTCCACTGATAGCCACTATCCATCTTATGAAAAAATCAGTAGTTATATTTTATATACGGCAAATTTTTTCCTAACAAAATCATGCAATAATTTTAATGTCTGGCTTTTAATGAAATGAAATAATTTTAAAATATACGCTTTAAAAGTTGTTAACTAACCATAACAGCTGATATAATATTTTTCTGACAAAATGTAAAATGTATAGAGCTTGACTTTTAATAAAAATTTACATAGTTTACCATAGTTATAAGTGTATGTTGAATGGTTAAAGACAACCAACTAAAAGTTTCATGTATAGTGACACATAACAGAATGACATTATTTGTTGTTAAACAGTTTCAAACTTATGTTGCTTAAAACTACTCTTGGAAGAATTGATACTAAGCAGATGATAAACAGTAAGTATTTAATAACCAACATAATGAAACATCTAGATTGTGTTTGGTGATACAGTTTAATAGTTACGCAAAGAAAAGTTAATTATATTTCAAAATAATGATACTAAACAGCTCTGTTATCATTATTTGGCATTGGTCGTCGGTGAACACCGATTAACCTAACTTTAACAAGCCCAAAGCTTTCAAATTTCACAAAGTATACGACTTTTTCAGACGATCAAGTTGGAATACAATAATTTTTATTTCGATTCCATTTAATTGTGTTAAATCATTAGGTATACACACATTCACATTTTTAAATACTACGTTAAAAGTTGTGATCAGCTATGATTTCCCCTCGATTGAGAAACTCTACCGAGCATATATTTATCAAACTGGTGTTGTAATTTACTTTATTTTTCAAATTTCTCAATAAGATAAATCATTTTTATAACAACTTGGTCTGTTTGATAAAATACTAGATATGATTGAGTTCAGTGAATCAATAAAGTTATATAAGGGGACTGGTCGGGAAATCCTGATCCGAACACGTTCTAGAAAACATAACAGATTTTCCTATATATATATATAGTTGTAGCTAGAAAATTTTTCAATAAATATGAACAATCCATCCAATTTTAAAAAATAACCATTGACTATTTTAACACGTCGTCATTGTGGTGAAAGGACTAGATAAGCTAAATATTGTATAATGAACTTAATAGTAATTAAGTAATAGTTTTAAAATTTTATTTTATTGATAGAAAGTTTAAATGATCAACTTAACCATTTAAGCTACATTTTAATGGTAACAAGTTTAATGTTCCTAAGAGTTATATAATGTTTTGATTTTTTTATGGCATTACCTAATCGTTGATTCAAAATAAACGCTCTTATCCGGTCAATCAATACTTTGAACTAAGGCCTAGTTAATAAATTTGTAAATAATTAGTTCTGGATGATGATTCATGTAATATCATGCAAAACAAATCATGTATAAGTTCACGTTGTGTTTTCCAAAGGGTTAGATTACAGCCATTGTATTTTAACTTGTTTTGTTCAGTAATTTAGAAATTTAATCAATGTATAAAGTGTTTTTGTTGATAAGATCTGAGCGAAAGCAGAAATCCTTTAGAGGAATACAAAACTGTCAGTAAGGTTTAGTATTATTAAGACGACGTAGATGTTTTAATTGATGACATATCTACTGATTTAAATGAATCTCGTTTTCATTCTCACTAATATTGACAACGAAATCTTTGAAAAAACACTAGCGTTCATGGGATTTTTCACAAGTGACACAACTATCAGAGGAATTTCGTTTTTGAAACTTTTCTTTATTAAAGTGAATGAATAGAGTTTTAATTGGTCGATTTCATATGAAATTTTATCCTCAAATTATTGTGATGATTGATGCTTGATTATTCAGTTTGATTAAGTAATATGAATTAATTCCTGGCTACTCAAGTTTTCTTTGTAAATCTATTTTTTTTAACTCAGGCTTTCATTCAGTCAAAAGACTAGTAAAGAGATATTATTAATCGAATAAATGAGCATGGGACCATACAATGTAAAATATATAGAATGGGACTGTGTTCTGCATACAATAGCGTGGTGAGTACTTTGATAACTGATTGAGGTGAACTTGATGTTTGAATATCATTTAGCTCTTGGAGAATGCAAATGTGAT